TTGGTTTCTCCGATGGAGTTTTCTTCCAAAAAGGATCTGTTTTTCAAGCTTTCTGCTCCTCTTCTCATTGATGGTGGTAACAAGGTCAAAAACCGTAAACTATAGTCTGAAAATCATGCATGCCATACAAATTATGCTATCATTTTATGGATTTAGAGCCCATATATATGTTTATTTTCAACTGTCACCATCATTAAGTTGGTATGTGTTTGCAAATAAATTATAATATTTAGATTAATTTGTTTCAATGCAGACATTTGCAATTGATAAATATACAAATAAGAAATGCTACATGTTGAGCGCAAGAGAATTATCAATTACTTGGGCAAGCGATCCTCTTTGCTGGAGCTGGAAACCTCTTCCTCACTCAAGGTCTCTATTTCATTCTTTTAAGTTGTGTTACAGAAATAAATCACATATCCGAAAATATAGACGAACATATCATGTTTTTTCTACTCCTTTTTATAAGCTTGACCTTCTAAAACGGAGCTCAAATTTTGATATGGTATTACATCTCAATTTGATCCGATTAAAATTCAAACAAATATATGAATTTCAAAATTAGTCGGTCAAACTAACCATCATCTTACGGGGACGTATTAAAGGATAAATCCCACATTGGTTATAAGCCAACGTATAAGGATTTATGTTACTTTTCTTAATATGATTGACATTGTAAGATTAAATCTCAAGTATTAATAAATTTACATAGTACTTCTATTTTTTTTCTTACTATGTTATAAGAATTAACTTTTTGGAGGGTCAATAATAATAAAGAAAAGAGTTTTATTTAGTAAACTTCAAATTTCATTAAAATAAAGTTTGATGGAGGAATTATTTTGAACCTGATTTCAAATATTTGTTTTCACCAGATTTTCTAAAGGAGTAGAGCTTATAATGATATGGTGGCTTGAGATATATGGTAAAATCAACACTCGAATGTTATCGAAAAATACCACATATGGAGCCTACCTCGTTATTAAACTTGCAAATCGTGCATTTGGATTAGACTTGCTTCCATCTGAGGTTTCAATAGAAGTCGGTGATTACAAATCGATGAGAGAAACTTATTTAAGAGGCAATGAGCTTGAAAAACAAGATATGGAGCGCGATTTTATGGAACACAAAATCGATGGATCAAGTGATTGTGAAGCTGAAGAATGCATTCTTCATATGCGCGACGATGGATGGTTAGAAGTTGAACTGGGTGAATTCTATTGTGATGGCAATGATAGAGAGGTGAAAATGAGCTTCAAAGAGGTCAAAGGAGAGCACCTCAAAGGGGGCCTTCTTGTTGAAGGCATTGAGATCAGACCAAAGCACTAAATGTTAAACAATAAGAAAAGTACATAGAAATTATTGTTGCGATTCTTGCACATAATCATTTTTTTATTGTCTTGTGGGGAAATTCTTTCTATCAAGTAGATAGAGAAGCACTGTCATTGAGATTCATTCTTTCATTTTTTTTTTTATTTTTTTTTATGTATGAACCAATTTGGCATAAAGTATACCAGTGATTAGTTATTCTCAAGTTTTCTGAGTTTTTGTTTAGAGAGCACTTTTGAGTTTACAAGGCATTATGTATTTTTGCATATTGAATCCATTATAATCCATAACGGAAATATTTAGCCCCTGTTTGGTACGGATTAAAATCCGATTAGATTTTAATTCAAGTTAAAGTCAAACAATCAATATTAACCACATCTTTCATGGGTTCCACAAATTTTCAACCACATATTTTAAAAACTTCTATCACAATCTACTAAAAATCTAATTTTAATTCTTACCAAACACCCTCTTAGTCCAAGATGTGCAATATCAATTTTGAGAAACTTGGATTCGTTTTTCAATTGCAACATAATTAGTTTTCAAGGCAAACTACACAAGTGGCTTGATGTATTCACTTGCAGCTTTACAAACATCAGGGTTGAGAGTAGATGTTGCATGGGAGAAAAGGAATGATGCTACTCAAACAGGGTTTAAAAATATGGGCGTTGACATGCGTTGCGTTGGTAATACTTGTGTGGCTACTTTTTTTTTTTTCAAAGTGTCCAATGATGCGCCAAGTGTCCTCCTGTTTTAAACTCTATCGTTGAGTCTGTTTGTGTAGCGTGATTATAGAGAAAAGAGTGTGGAGTCACATAGCTATACGAAAATTTTCAACATATTTATGTAGTGCTAATGACATTTGTGACCTTTATTCGATGAACTTCTTATTATTTTTCTTGAGCAATCTGAATGGGGTATCACAAGTAAGTAGACCGTGCAAGATTTGAGGATGAATTTTCTCCGAAGTAAGTAGAATGATGCAGACCAAGAAAAGGTAAGTGACAGGCTTGATTTGATTTTCATATTATTATTTATTTAATTAGAGTAAAAAAAATGTATTTTAATTATATCAGGAAAAATTGCAACAGCGGACCCTGACCTTTTACTTTTTTTGTAAACTTTGTCATAACCTTCATTTGTGTTATCCACGGTCCCAAATTTTTCGAAAATATGCACTCGCGGTCCTTTTCGTTCATTTAATAAGGGGAAAATTGCAGCCACGGTACCAAAACTTTCAATTTTTTGCAGATTTTGTCCAAACCTTTTATTTGTGTCACCCACGATACCAAACCATTAGATTCACACCCGAAGTCCAAATTAATAGAAACCGTTAGTTTGATTGTTAGTTGACCAATAATTCAATTTACACTTTTCATATGAAAAAAATTAAAACAAAAGAATTAAATTTAAAAAAAAAAATCTCTGTCACTATTTACCCTTTAAAAATTGGTCAACAATTGGTCAAACATTTAATTATTGGTCAACTAATGGTCAAACTAAAGATTTCTGTCAATTTAGACTCCGGGTGCGAATTGTTTAAATGCTTGGTACCGCAGATGGCACAAATGAAAGATTTGGGCAAAGTCTGCAAAAAAGTGAAAGGTTTGGTACCGTGGCTACAATTTTCTCTTTAATAAGGGTAAAATGATAATTTCAGAATTGTTATATTAAATAAATTAATAAAAAAACCAAAAATATAAAATATAAAACAACAAAAACTGACTGCCCGCCCCATCTATGTGTTTCTAATAGGTGTTGTTTATGTTACCCCTATGTTGATGGGCAAACCACGAGATCTCCTTTCAATATTGCAGCCAAAGTTTTGACAGAATTTCACAAAACCCAGAATTTGTGGGTTGAGAAATTGAGAAATGGAGTTCCAAGCTATGGTGTCGATTGAAAAATTGTTGGTTTTATAAGGTTTAGGATTTTGGAGAATTGGAATTGGGTTTGAGCTATGGGAGGAGTTCCAAGCTGTATAACGTAGAAAACCCACAATTTCTGACACAGAATTTGGAATTGGAATTGGAATTGGGTTTTGTTGGAAATGGGTCAAGTT